CCAAAATAACACCAGCATTCTTCACAGAGCTAGAACAAACAATCCTAAAATTTGTATGGAACCAGAAAAGACCCTGATTAGCCAAAGCAATCTTGAAAAAGAAAACCAAAGCAGGAGGCATCACAATCCTGGACTTCAAGCTATACTACAATGCTGCAATCATCAACACAGTATGGTGCTGGCACAAGAACAGATACTCAGATCAATGGAACAGCATAGTGAGTCCAGAAATGGACCCACAAACCTATGGCCAACTAATCTTTGACAAAGCAGGAAAGAAGATCCAATGGAATAAAGACAGTCTCTTCAGCAAGTGTGCTGGGAAAACTGGACAGCAACATGCAGAAGAATGAACCTGGACCACTTTCTTACACCAACTCAAAATGGATGAAAGTCCTAAATGTAAGACAGGAAGCCATCAAAATCCTCAAGGAGAAAGCAGACAAAAACCTCCTTGATCTTGGCTGCATCAACTTCCTACTCAACACGTTTCCGGAGGCAAGGGAAACAAAAGCAAAAATGAACTACTGGGACCTCATCAAAATAAAAAGCTTCTGCACAGTGAAGGAAACAATCAGCAAAACTAAAAGGTAACCGACAGAATGGGAGAAGATAGCTGCAAACGACACATCAGATAAAGGGTTAGTATCCAAAATCTATAAAGAACTTATCAAACTCAACACCCAAAAAACAAACAATCCAGTGAAGAAATGGACAAAAGACATGAATAGACACTTCTCCAAAGAAGACATCCAGATGACCAGCTGACACATGAAAAAATGCTCAAATCACTCATCATCAGGGAAATACAAATCAGAACCACAATGAGATACCACCTTACACCTGTCAGAATGGCTAACATTAACAACTCAGGCAACAACAGATGTTGGCGAGGATTTGGAGAAAGATGATCTCTTTTGCACTGTTAGTGGGAATGCAAGCTGGTGCAGCCGCTCTAGAAAACAGTATGGAGGTTCCTCAAAAAACTAAAAATAGAACTACACTATGACTCAGCAATTGCACTACTAGTCATTTATCAATGGGATACAGGTGTGCTGGTTTGAAGGGACACATGCACCCCCATGTTTATAGCAGCACTATCAACAATAGCCAAAGTATGGAAAGAACCCAAATGTCCATCGATGGATGAATGGATAAAGATGTGGTACATATATACAATGGAGTATTACTCAGCAATAAAAAAGAATAAAATCTTGCCATTTGCAACTAGGTGGATGGAACTGGAAGGTATTATGCTAAGTGAAATTAGTCAGAGAAAGAAAAAATCACATGACTTCACTCATATGAGGACTTTAAGAGACAAAACAGATGAACATAAGGGAAGGGAAACAAAAATAATATAAAAACAGGGAGGGAGACAAAACAGAAGAGACTCATAAATATGGAGAACAAACTGAGGGTTACTGGAGGGGTTGTGGGAGGGGGGATGAGCTAAATGGGTAAGAGGCACTAAGGAATCTACTCCTGAAATCATTATTGCACTATATGCTAACTAATTTGGATGTACATTTTAAGAAATAAAAAATTTAAAAAATAAAAAATATTTAAAACGTTTTAAAAATTAAAAAAAAAATTTTTCTTACCCTCTGAAAGTAATTACAGAAATGTAAGATAAATGCTGAGAAAAAGCATTATAGGTATACTAAATAGATGACAACCTTTGTGTGACCTAACACAATTATCTCATCCCTAAGGTTCTTTTTCCATATACAAAATGAAAATAACTTTCCTATTTTCTTACAAGTTATTGTAAAAATAGGGGCGCCTGGGTAGCTCAGTCGGTTAAGTGTCTGACTTCGGCTCAGGTCATGATCTCGCAGTTTGTGGGTTCAAGCCCCATGTTGGGCAATGTGCTGACTGCCCAGAGCCTGGAGCCTGCCTCAGATTCTGTGTCACTCTCTCTCTCTCTGCTCCTCCCCCACTCTCACTCTGTCTCTCTGTCTCTCAAAGATAAATGAACATAAAAAATTTTTAGAAACAAGCTATTGTAAAAATTAAAAAAAATGACATCTCTGAAACTCATGAAGTGAATATATCCAGATTCACGCCTTACTGCTGCAAATTAAGATAGATTCAAAACACAGTATTAAGACATACTCATTTTAAAACTGTATTCCTCAGCCATAGAAAAGAATAAAATCTTACCATCTGCAATGGCGTGGAATAGAGGAAGGTAGTATTATACTAAACAAAATAAATAAAAAAAGACAAATACAGTAAGATTTCACTCATGTGGAATTTAAGAAACAAATGAGGGGTGCCTGGGTGGCTCAGGTCACGATCTCGTGGTTCTTGAGTTTGAGCCCCACATAGGGCTGTCTACTGTCAGCATAGAGCCCACTTCAGCTCCTCTGTACCCACCCCCCGCTGAAAACAACCAACATTTAAAAAAATGAACACAGGAGGGGGGAAAAAAGGCAAACCAAGAAACAGACTCTTAACTACAGAGAACTGATGGTTATTGGAGGGCAAGGGGGGGGGTGGTGAAAAATAGGTGATGGTTATTAAAAAGGACACTCGTGGTGAGCACCAGGTATTATATGCAAGTGATAAATCACTAAATTCTACATCTGAAACTAATATTACACTGTATGTTAACTGGAATTTAAATAAAAACTTGAAAAAAACCCGTAGGCAGGATTCTGACTTGAAGATTAAGTTGACATCTTTATTTTGCAGGAGGCAAAACATGAGAATCAAAGTTTCATTTAAAAAGTTTCATTAGGGGCGCCTGGGTGGCTCAGTTGGTTAAGCGGCCGACTTCGGCTCAGGTCATGATCTTGCGGTCTGTGAGTTCGAGCCCCGCGTCAGGCTCTGTGCTGACAGCTCAGAGCCTGGAGCCTGTTTCCGATTCTGTGTCTCCCTCTCTCTGACCCTCCCCCATTCATGCTCTGTCTCTCTCTGTCTCAAAAATAAATAAACGTTAAAAAAAAATAAATAAAAAAAAATAAAAAGTTTCATTAAATTTTTTTTCATTAAAAATAACCACATATGCAATGAAGTTCTGTTTTTCAAGAAATAGTTCATGTTTTAGAAAGTGAAACCTAACTCACTCTTAGTGAAAAATGGGGGTGGAGGGAAATTCCATAACTCTGAACCACAATAAATACTAATAATACCTTTGATTCTGCAACATGGGACTTCCCCAAGAAACAGGCATCAGGTTTTGCTTAGTCAACTAGAATGTTATCCAATCAGAGTTAGAGAGGGAAAGTGCCTTTACAAATAAATACTGCATCCCAACCCCACGTTTTCTGAGACACTCAACTGCTTAGACATTCTGAGCCTACCACAGAGGAAGCTCCAGTCACAGCACCATGAACCAACGAGCTGTTCTTATTTTCTGTCTTATCTTTCTGACTCTGAGTGGAACTCAAGGTAAGGAACATGAAAGGATATTTAATTTCTAAGGTCAGAAATAGGACTGCGTAGAAGTTCTATAATTACAGGAATAGCATATTTGCAAAAGTTTTACAGCCTGCCTATAAATGAAGGCCAAATGAGCAGAGATTCTCTCTGGTCACAGGTCAGAAAGGCAAATGGAATAAAAGGATGGGGGAACAGAAGAGTAAGAGGATAGACAGAGAAAATGTAAGGGAATGAGGACAGAGAGGATGAGACATATACTTCTTAAGTAACTCACTTAATTAACCATAAGAACTGGGCTCAGGGGTAAGTTTACAATTCACAAGTTGCAATTCCATTCTTTCAGATAATCAACTAATCAATCATTCAGAGCTATATTATAATGGAATCATTCCCTCTCAGATTACCTCAAATAACATGGGGATATAGGTTCTGCTAAGTAGTAGCCAATCCACACTAAACGACTAAAACGAAAACTGCACTAACCTCCCCTACTGTACTTGTCTTTTTTCCCCACAGGAATACCTCTCTCTAGAACACCACGCTGTACCTGTATCAAGATTAGTGAACTATCTGTAAATCTAAGGTCCTTAGAAAAACTTGAAGTGATTCCTGCAAGTCACTTTTGTCCACGTGTTGAAATCATGTGAGTAAATGCCTTCTGAAAGTCACCTCTCTAGTTGTAATCATATATTAAATATGTATGATCACAAAATCAATAAATGCTTTGTATGATTCTAAGACTTCTACATAGCAAAGGGAAACATCTACAGTGAAATGTAAACATCTGGCTTAAAAACTGTATATTACACCTGTTTTATTGGCCCAACATCATTCTAAATATTTTCCCTCTTACTTCTACAGTGCTACAATGAAAAAGAATGGGGAGAAAACATGCCTGAATCCAGAGTCTAAGACCATCAAGAATTTAGTGAAAGCAATTAGCAAGGAAAGGTAGGTTTGCTGTTATTTGCAGAATTTCTCTTTAAGAAATGTCAATTTGGGGAAGTCAGAAATATTTGCAGTGAGCTTTCCTGTGGGATCCCTTGGCTTAAAAGTGTGTTTACCACCATGCCTGCCACTACCTGTATTTATTTTTATACTGAGATTGCCATCGTCTGTGGTATCAAAAGTTAGCTACCTACCTAGAAGTGTCAATAGGTCATTTTAACCTTGAGGCAGAGCTAGAACTATCCAAGCAAAGCTACCAAATTTTCCCCAAGCCTCTCCTGTCCCTAAAAAAGCAGCTCTTGCAATCCACAATGACTATGTAGCATCAGGAAAGCTCACCAAACACTTTGCCTGGGGACTTGCGAGTTACCTATGAACTCAGAATGTTCTAAGCAGAACCCAGGCTGAAGCCAGAGTTGAGCATATCACACTTTTACACCCCCTTTCTCTTCCTACAGGTCTAAACGATCTCCTTGAACACAGAAGCATAATCACTGTACTGACAAAGATGGACCAGAAAGAGACTACCTCTGCCATCATTTCCCTACATACTTGTCAAGCCCTAATTGTCCCTGGATTGCAGTTCTCCTAAAAGGTGACCAACCACTGTCACCAAATAAGCTGCTACTACTCCTTGAGGGAGGTGGATGGTTCATTACCCTGAGCTATTTAGTACGAACTCTGCTCTGGCACTGTAAGCTAAAGGTGCTACATTTTTAGTGAATGTACCAGGTCCTAGCCCTGCTACTAACACTTTCCTCACCTTTCATATCTTCTAAAGGTTATTAAAGATATTCCCACCTCTGGGTTTATCAAAGTTCTCAGAACTTAAAAAAAACAAATAGCCATAATACAATCTGCTTTTTTAAGAAAGATCTTTACTCCATGGGATCCTACTGCTATCCTCCCAAGGGGCCCATATTCTTCCAGTGGTTATATATACACAATTCCAAATACATAAAAGAACCTAAAAATGTCTGAAAATGTATGTGAAAATACTATTATTTAATGAAAACTGCACAAAGTTGAGTTCTCAGATGTACATATGTCTTATATTGTTTTCGGTGTGTATGGAATAACTTGTGTAATGAAGTACTAAACATGAATGAATAAAAATTTTTAAGTCTAGATATATACTATGCATGTTATGTAAGGCATACACTGGATGTTTTTCAAAATAAAAATGCTGTACTCCTTTAGCAGTAATTTTTTTGAGAGAGTATGTGTGCAAGTGAGTGAGGGGCAGAGAAAGTGAGAGAATCCCAAGAGGGGCAGAGGGAGGGGGTGCGGGGGAGGGAGGGAGGTGAGGAAGAGGAGCACAAGCTCATGAACCATGAGATCATGACCTGAACCAAAGTCAGATGCTTAACGACTGAGCCACCCAGACACCCTCCCTCGGCAACATTAAGAAAGATTATACAATTGTTAACAAATCAAAAAGGTATTAAAATAATAACTAATATATATTTCATAAAAGAATCCCACAGTAGAAGACAAATGACTTTGAGAATTACCATATTCCTTCCAACTGCGGTCTGCTGAAAGACCCATCATACAAGATTCCTTCAGGACTGATGTGGCATAACAGACTTTGCCTGAGCTTCAGACCCTTATAGGGAGAGATCTATGTGATATCTCCACCTGAATATCCTACAGAAATATCAAACTCTAAAATATCTCAAATTTTCTTCTTCCCCAGATCTAGTTCTCTGCCTCTTTTAAATGTCCTAGTTTAACAGCAATATCATCCACTCAGTTCCCCGAACCAGAAACCTGGAAGTAATTCTACATTCCTCTCTCACCTCCCACATCCAATTAATCACTAAGGAAGTATTTACAATGCATTTAGTCAGCAAATTAATTGTATCTAGAATATATAAAAAGAAAAATAGGAAAAGATAGATAACTAAGCGAAAAATGGGAAATAGAAATGAATAGGAATGTCACAGGAAAAAAATGCACAAGTCCTCAACATATAAAATTGTTCTGCATCATTAGTAATCAGGGACATCTACATTCAAATCATTTTGGGATACCATTTGACACCACAAGACTGGCAAAATTCTTTAAGTTGGATAAATACCAAGAGACAGGAAGAGTAGAGCAATGAGGAATGCCCCTCTACTGCTGGTGAAAGAGGAAAGAGCTACCGTAACTGGTTTGAAAACCAGGTTGGTATTATCTTGTAAAATTTAACATGTGTGCACTCTATGTCCTAGCAATTCTGCTACTATGCATACACCATGGATAAATTCTTGTATATTACATATATTAAAGAATGTTACAGCAGCATTGTTTATAATAGCAAACTCTGGACACAATCCAAATGTCCATAAATAGAATGGATAAGTAAATAAGGGTATACTAATTCAATGAAGTATTACACAACAGTAGAAATACACAAAATGGAACTATATACATCAACATGGGTGATCTCAAAAACAGTCTTGCACAAAAGAAGCATGTCACAGAATAGTACATACAGCATAGTTCTATTTACTATGAAATTCTAAAACAGGCAAACTTAACACTGGATTTAGGAATGAAGACATATATGATGAACACACACACACAAAAAAGGAATGGTTTCCATAAAATTCGGGATGGTAACTACTTCAGAAAGTGAGAAAAGAATGCAATCAGGGAGGGGCACATAAGAGGCTTCTGAATTACAGTAAAGTTCTATTTTTTACCTAGGTAGTGAGTACGTGAAAATTTGTTCTTTAATCTGTACCTACACATTTTTTTTTAATTCATAAAGACCACAAACACATGGAGATTAAACAACATGCTACTCAATAATGAATGAGTCAACCAAGAAATCAAAGAAGAAATAAAAAAATACACAAAAACAAATGAAAATACAAACGTACAAAATCTTTGGGATGCAGCAAAAGTGGTCCAAAGAGGGAAGTGTATAGCAATACACACCTACTACATCAAGAAGAAAAGTATCCGACAGCCTAACCTTACACCTGAAGAAACGAGGGGAAAAAAATAAAAAATACAGAGACCTGAGGGTTGCTGGAGGGGAGGAAAGGGAGATGAGCACTGTACATTATATGTAAGTGATGAATCACTGGGTTCTACTCCTGAAACCAATACTTGCTATATGTTAACTAACTTGAATTTAAATAAATTTTTTAAAAAGTGAAGCCTAAAGCCAGTAGAAGGAATAAAGTAAAAAAGATTAGAGCAGAAATAAATGATATAGAAACTTAAAAAACAGAACAGATCAATGAAACCAGAAGCTGGTTCTTTGAAAAAATTAACCTCTAACCAGACTTATTAAAAAGAGAAAGGACCCGGGGAGCCTGGGTGGCGCAGTCGGTTAAGCGTCCGACTTCAGCCAGGTCACGATCTTGCGGTCCGTGAGTTCGAGCCCCGCGTCGGGCTCTGGGCTGATGGCTCAGAGCCTGGAGCCTGCTTCCGATTCTGTGTCTCCCTCTCTCTCTGCCCCTCCCCCGTTCATGCTCTGTCTCTCTCTGTCCCAAAAATAAATAAACGTTGAAAAAAAGAAAAAAAATTAAAAAAAAAAAAGAGAAAGGACCCAAATGCATCACAAATGAGACAGAAAAAATAACGACCAACTCTATAGAAATACAATGATAAGAGATTATGAAAAACTGTATGCCAACATACTGAACAACCTATAAGAAATGGATAATTCCTAAAAATACATAAACTACCAACACTGAAACAGAAAAAAATAGAAAACTTGAACATACCAATTATCAACAAAGAAATTAAATCAGTAATTTTAAAACTCCCAACAAACAAAAGTAAAGGACCAGATGGCTTCACAAGCAAATTGTACCAAACATTTCAAGATGAATTAATACCTATTCTTCTCAAACTATTCCAAAAAATAGTGAGAAAAAAAGGAAAACTTCCAAATTCATTCTATGAAGCCAGCATTGCCCTGATGCCAAAACCAGATAAAGACCTCACCAAAAAAGAGAACTACAGACCCATATGCCTGATGAACACAGATGCAAAAATTCTAAATAAAATACTAACAAACCAAATCAAGTACAGTAAAAAAAAAAAAAAAAAAAAAAAAAAAAAAAAAAAAATCACTCAACACAATCAAGTGGGATTTATTCCTGGGTTGCAAAGATGGTTGAACATTTGCAAATCAACCACTCAACATGACACACCTCATTAAGAACAGATAAAAACTATATGATCATTTGGATCGATGCAGAAAAAGCATTTGACAAAGTACAACATCCATTCGTGATAAAAACTCCCAACAAAGTAGGGTTAGAGGGAACATACCTCAACATAATAAAGGCCTTATATGAAAAACCCACAGCTAATATCATCCTCAATGGGGAAAAACCGAGAGGTCTCAGTTTTTCAGTAGGTTCCTTACAATCAGGAACAAGACAGGGATGTCCACTCTCACCACTTTTATTCAACATCGTAATGTAAGTCTTAGCCACAGCAATCAGACAACAAAAAGAAACAAAAAGCATCCAAATTAGCAAGGAAGATGTCAAACTTCCACTATTTGCAGATGACATCATACTCTACACAGAAAACCAGAAAGACTACCAAAAAACTGCTAAAACTGATACACAAATTCAGTAAAGTCGCAGAAAAACAATCAACATACAGAAATCGGTTTCATTTCTGTGTGCCAATAATGAAGCAGCAGAAAGAGAAATGAAGGAATCCATCCCATTTACAACTATACCAAAACAATAAGATACCTAGGAACAAACCAAACCAAAGAGGTGAAAGACCTATACTCTGAAAACTATAAAACACTGATGAAAAAAATCCAAGATGATACAAAGAAATGGAAAGACATTCCATACTCATGCATGGGAAGAAAAAATATTGTTAAAACGTCTATACTACCCAAAGCAATCTACACATTTAATGCAATCCCCCCTCAATATACCACCAGCGTTTTTCACAGAGTTAGAACAAACAATCCTAAAATTTACATGAAACCACAAAAGACCCCAAATAGCCAAACCAGTCTTGAAAAAGCAGAACAAAACTGGAGGCATCACAATTCCAGACTTCCAAGTTCTATTACAAAGCTGTAGTAATCAAACCAGTATAGTACTAGCACAAAAACAGACACATAAATCAATACAACAGAATGGAAAACCCAGAAATGAACCTACAATTATATGGTCAATTAATCTTTGACAAAGCAAGAAAGAATATCGAATGGAAAAAAGTGTCTTCAACCAAATGGTGCTGGGAAAACTGGATAGCAACAAGCTAAAGAATGAAACCACTTCCTCACACCACACAAAAAATAAATTCAAAATTAATTAAAAACCTAAATGTAAGACATGAAACCATCAAAATCTTAAAGAAGAACACAGACAGTAACCTCTTTGACATCAGCCAAAGCAACTTTTTTCTAGATATGTCTCCTGAGGCAAGGGGAACAAAAGCAAAAATAAACTATTGGGACCTCATGAAACTAAAAAGCTTTTGCACAGCAAAGAAAACAATCAACAAAACTAAAAAGCAACCTACAGAATGGGAGAAGATATTTGCAAATGATATATCTGATAAAGGGTTAATTAACATCTAAAATATGTAAAAAAAAAAAACTTATGCAACTTAATACACAAAAAAGCAAACAATCCAATTGAAAAATACGCAGAAGACATGAATAGACATTTTTCCAAATAAGACATACAGATGACAAACAGACATGA